CCCCCGCCATCCTGGTTTCCCCTCACAGACTCCCGCCGGCCTGGTTGCCCCACACAGCCTGCTGTTCAGACGTTTGGTTGTCCCTCACTAACCCCTCTGCCGGCCTGGTTGCCCCACGCAGCCTGCTTGTTCAGTCGTTTGGTTGTCCCTCACTAAACCCCCTGGAGGCCTGGTCATAGGCAGCCATCTTGGGAGGGTGTGATGGTCAATTTGCATATTACCTCTTTATTATATAGGATTCTACAACCCCAATCCAAGTATTCATATATTGTATCTAAACTCTTAAATGATTACATACTCAGTTATCTTAATAAAGCTAATTATAGCTCATTAACATGGTGATGAAAGAAACAGCTCTCAAAAATATTCCTGTTAAGTGTGAGCCACTTCAAAAAACGATGGCCTAGCAATGAAAAGCGCAGCAGTAAACACTCCTGCTCTGTCTTCTGTATTGCTCTAAGTATTAACACGTGTAGATAATATGAGAGAACATAATGAAATCATAAAGAGTTTAAGTTTCCCAAACAACATAGAAGCAACATGAAGCTTAATATAAAAGTATTTCAATTTTAAAAATGTAAACTATATACCACAATAAAATAGTTTTTCCTTTCTTTAACATGGTTTTCTTCTTTCTGATAAATGACCTCAAAACAAAGAATGAGTCTCTCTGCCCCGCAGTGTCTCCTGGAGTAGTCTTTCGGCTTTTTTGATTATGCACTCATATAAAATTAGGTTTGCTTTTCTTTTTTAAAAAAATATGCATTTTTTTTTACTTCAGAGAGAAAGGGAGAGGGAGAGAGAGATAGAAACATCAATGATGAAAGAAAATCATTGATCGGCCGCCTCTTGCACGCCCCACACTGGAGATCGAGCCCACACCACGGCATGTGCCCTGACTGGTAATCGAATCTTGACCTCCAGGTTGACAGGTAGATGCTCAACCACTGAGCCACGCCAGACGGGCAGGTTTGCTTTTCTTAATGCTTCACAAGCTTGTGTGTCACCCTGGAGCAGGGGCCACGCTCATCTCTGTGTCATGTCAACTGTAGTGTATGTGCTGCCAAAAGGAGCACTAAAATTAGTTTTTAAGCAGCCACTCCCTTCAATATATAACTGAGTATTATGTACATCATTAAGCAAATAAAAAGTAGAAATGTAAAGTATTAGATAAAAATAACTAGAAGCTCTCATATTTTTCCTTATACCCCTATTGTGAAATCTTATATACCACTTAGGGTGTATACTACTTTGGGGAAAACAGCTAGTTAACTCTTGTTTTCTCTTTCTCACCTATTTTTAAATATGTTTAAGCATCATTAATGAAAAGGGAAGTTTGCTTCAATTGGTAATATCTTGGCAATCACCAAATCCTTATTACAAAGCTATTCTCACACACACACACACACACACCACATACACACACCCCACCCTAAAAGCTGGAAACGTCTTAACATTTTTAAAAAATATTATTTTATTGATTTCAGAGAGGAAGGGAGAGAAAGAGAGAGATAGAAACATCAATGATGAGAGAGAATCATTGATCGACTGCCTCCTGCACGCACCCTACTGGAGATTGAGCTCACAACCCGGGCATGTGACTTTGACTGGAGTTGAACCCGGGACCCTTCAGTCCGCAGAGTTCTATCCACTGAGCCAAACCGGCTGGGGCTTAACATTTTAGTTAGAAGATGGCACAAAGTATGAAATACTATTTTTCATTCTCTTGAGATTTTGGTATCCAATTTCAATATCGCTTAGCTGTTCTAATGTTTATGTTGCCAAAGCTTTTAATGTTTGTAAGTGATTGTGCCAATCCTTCCCATGGGAAGGGTTAAGCGGCGAATCAGCTTATTATCAACTCTAATGTGGACGGGCTTGTAGAATTAAGTTGCAAAGCTGGAAAGACAGAGGCAACTACACCTGAGATCCCTGCAGGTGTCCTGGGAAGAAACCCCTAGGAGCAGTGCTATTATAGGAAGTGGTAAGCCAAACTGATACAATGAGCTTACACATTTGACTTGAAAATATTCCTTGAAAGTACTTAAAATGAATTATAAACATATTAGAACTAAGTTTATTTCCTAATCAAGGATTCGGTGTCAAAAAGTACTAATTATAACTAACGATGCAAAAAGGCGGCAACTAAAAACCTGTAATGATTTTACTTGAGAAAAATAGCCTCCATGTGTTATAAAATGAACACTGTACTTAATATTTCTTTGCCAAGAACAGATCCTTAACTCTAACATGTGACAAATTATAATGGAAATTAACATGGGTACTTTAGTGAACATTTAATTATCAATATGGTTGGCTTGCTTAGAATTTAGAAGTGCTTTTGGTAGATGATTTACAGTGAGATGATGTAGTATTCTGAATACAGCTGTTCATGTGTTTTGGCTAATGATTTATTTGGCGTGTCTACTAAATTTCTTTGTAGCAAACAGAGAAGATCAAAATCAGTCAATCCTTTCTTCCCTCACACCTTCTCCTCAATCAGCAGCAGCCAACAAGGCACCAATCCGCACCCCGTAGTAAACAAGAAGAACACTGTAATTTGAAAGGAAAATGAGGATGGCACAGCTGGCTTGGCTGACCTATGAACCAGGAGGTTGTGGTCTGATTCCCAGTCAGGGCACATGCTTGGAATACGGGCTCGATCCCCAGAGTTGGGCTTGCAGGAGTCAGCCCATCAATGATTCTCATCATTGATGTTTCATTTCTCTCTCCTTTTCCCTTCCTCTCTGAAATCAATAAAAAAACATATTTTTTAAAAATGAAGAGCCCAGCTGGCATGGCTCAGTGGTTGATAGTTGACCTATGAACCAGGAGGTCATGGTTCAATTCCCGGTTAGGGCACATGCCCAGGTTGCAGGCTCACACCCCAGTGTGGGGTGTGCAGGAGGCAGCCAATCAACCTTCTGTCTCATCACTGATGTTTCTATCTCTCCCTCTCCTTTCCTCTCTGAAATCAATAAAAACATATTTTTTTAAAAATTAAGAAAATGAGGGTAAATAATCAATTCTTATAGTTAATTGACATATTCCTCTTTCCCCACTTATAAAAGTACCCATGTCTGAAGTTTAGCAATATAATCTGGATAAAGGTATAAATTCTGAAACAACGAAATCAAAGTATTTATTTCAAATAGATTAAATCAATTAATTGTAAAACTGATTTTAAAAGCAATTTTAAGGAAAAATGGCCAAAGGAATTCTTCCAAATAGGTTTGAGAAAATAAGCTTTTCCACAAAATTTACATATGAGAATGCAAAACATTTGACATGAACACCATTTTTCCTTCTGTACAAAGTAGGTGTAGTACTATTATAGGACCCCAGACATCAATTATAGAGATTGTTCATGCCTGGTTATGGTTTTGTGTCACTCTCAGGCATACCCAATTATATGAAACCAGTCCTATTTTTGCCTAAATTTTAAAATTGAGAATTAATTCTTTAAAGATATATATGTATTTTATTGAGTTTTTACAGAGAGGAAGGGAGAGAGATAGTTAGAAACATTGATGAGAGAGAAACATCGATCAGCTGCCTCCTGCACACTCCCTACTGGGTATATGCCCGCAACCAAGGTACATGCCTGTGACCAGAATCGAACCTGGGACCCTTGAGTCCGCAGGGCAACGCTCTATCCACTGAGCCATACCGGTCAGGGCGAGAATTAATTCTGATTTACTTTTAAGTAAAAAAAATAAGTGCATGCAATATAGAGGAAAGAAGGAATGTGTGTCATGAAATTAAGCCAATGACAAACTGTAACAACTTGGAATTCATTCAATTTCCTCTGGTTGCTAGTATGAACCCCATATTTTAATCATTTCCTGTTTGCTGACTTTGAAAAACGGACAAGCTTAAGCAGCTAATTCACTTGCTTTTATTTAAAAAAAATTTTTTTTTCAAGCATATACTGAGAGATTTGGGCAATCAACTCATGTATGCCAGGCAATCAGGCGCTTACTGTCCTCAGACTTGTGGTATT